GTATTGTAAAATAATATAAAAAAATTTTTCATCAATTGTGTAACGATTTTGTGACGTATCAACGGTTCCTCCTGTTATATATGAGTGCGTGAGAGTATGATCGGTTTCCAGGTTTTCACTTTCACGCACTCATATAATGCGAATCTAATCCCGTCCTAATCCCTGATGGTGACCTTTTTTTCTGCGAATTATACAAAGCCGAGGACTTTATAATAATTCGAATCTATGATAAGTTGATCCCATTTTTTAAATTTATAGTATTATTCGAATATTGTTGTGGCGGGGACCTATAATAGAGTTTCCCGGTCTGTTCGAGTCAAACGAGTCAGAATTCAAAATAGGAAAAAACCCACTAAAATGCTATATTACGTAATTTACCTATATAACTGTTGGTAGAAGACATTATACTGTTATAATTTACTAAACAGTAAAGCTCTCAGCTGGGTCGTCTGACCAGTGAGGTCAGTTTCTTGACGGGTCATGGGTTGAGAATTGGCCTGTTAAAATACAAAAATCTGAACGAACTCAAATCACGAGCAAGGTCGAAAATTTTCAATACAAGTTCCGGTTTAAATATTGAGTACAAGTTGCTCTTTATACTAATACAGTCAGACTCCTCTAAGCGCACCCTCCCTATATAATACCTCTCTAAGTGGGTACGTATCATTTTATAGACAATCATTTCACCGTTATTTCATTTCATAGACAATCAATTCATAGACAAGTTCATTTTGAAGACAATTAATTTGCAAACAATTCATTTCATAGACAATCTTTGACAGTGAATAACTTCTAATCTATTGGTTCTTTTTGGATAATTTAATTACCAAAACGATTGACTTCATTAGATGATTATTTTGGTGATCAAATTATCCAAATTAGATTAGTATATTAGAAAGTTATTCAGTGTTACAAATTGTTTATAAAATTAAGAATCGTTACATATTGACTTTAAACCTTTATGAATTTTCGTTTGATCCGTTGACCCGTCCAGATCGGTATTTTCTAACTCGGGTAAGAGCTTCAAGCAAACATATGCGATAACGATAATTTATCAAAGGACTTTCTAAGATCACCGTTACACCTAATTTTTTTATTTCAGGGGTATATTTCGTAATTCTCAATAGATACAAAGACACATTAATTTGTTAATTTGTTGTCTCATTTACGAATTTACAACTTTCAATGTTAATTAGCTTTTTTCCGATAAACATTACGAATTGTAACTTTATGTCCTTATTCTTGATTCTGTTCTGACATTCAAACATGCGAATATACTACCGCATATGCCATGCGATAAAGTCAGGATATGTGCAGGTTATGCTATCGTAGATTTGCGCTGACCTTACACAAAAAGCTGGTATTACTCTCCCATTAAGTCCTCTAATGGAATTTTCTGCGTTGAAGTATTTTAAAAATTAAAATAATTGAAAGGTTTTTTAGCATTACATATATAAATCATTTTAAATCATTTTAAACGCTATTTCATCATTTGATCAAGCTAGCAAAAAAAAAAAATTAATCGACGTACGTTTTGCAACAGCGCACAAAATTTGATATTTTTATTTTTCCGGAAATGTTTCTATTAAACGGAATTTAAATCTATAGTAAGTAGGGATGTCACTAGAGATCAGCTCGGAATTACATAGTAATAAAACGATCTAATGATGTGATATCAGGAGACGATAATAATGAGTATGCATCAGGGGAGGAAATAAATAATAAAGACGTGAAAAATGGAAAAAGTGGTACAACGCTTAGACCACTTTGAAACAGAAAAAAATTAGTCTGCACTCAGTCTTAAGATCAAACAAGTCTGTACCAGTCTGTACCAGTTAAATTTTAAAACTGTAGGCGGTTAAAAACTAGACCAGACCGGGCAAGACCAGACTGTAAACATTCCAAAGAGCCTCAGAAGTTCTGATATAGCGACCAATGAAATTTAAATTATTTTTAAATGGAAATTTCGAATGCATCGGAATTTGTCTTAAACGGAAACCTCCGGCATTTTACAATAAGTTTGTGCATTTGTTCCTTTACTAACTTTTAATATATATCTTAAAAATATACACAATTAAAATATGCTCAATTAAAATATTTACATTACAAATAACATTGCTCATACAACTAATCGTTTGGTCATTAAAAATAGTAAAAAACCTTGTACTATCCTCAAAAAAGCATACCGATTCTGTGTGTTAGAATAAAGCAACTTGTTTTCTTAACAAAGCGAGTTTGTCAAATTCACCTCAATATTTAACTATTTGCGGGAACCATTGTCTATCATTGTCGTATCTGTATCCGGTATGACCTCATTTTCAGTTTAAAAGGAAAATTTTGGGGCGTCATTTGTAAACAAAAGGTAAAAAGCACCAATAAAACTTATCCACATGAATAATGAATATGCAATTATGCAACCTGTGTGCATTTTTACACCGTGTGTTGCTTGATTGGGAACATTTAATCTCTCTCGTTTTATTTTTTTTTTCTATTTTTTCTTTCTGAATTCATCATGAATCAAGAACAATTCGTCATGCAACAAGTAAAATTTCGTGTTAACGCAAAGCCGAAAATTTCAAAACTAATTTTAAATGATAAGCAAAAAGAGGAATTAACAAATATTTTCAATTGTCAACCTAATCCATCGGATCTTAGTAAAGAGATTTTTACTACTAAAATATGGACAGAAAGTGAAGAAGATCAAAATGAGGCTAAAGAGTATTTGAGTTTTCAAGGACTTTGGCCTCCTTATGTTAGTTTTCCAACTTCAAGATGGAAGACTCGTTGGAGTGATAAAAAGAATGGTGCAACTTTATATCAATGTTGTTGTGGATCCGATATGGAATCTGCAAGAAAAACTGAAGTCGAAAAACAAAGAAAACTTCGACAAATGTATGATTTTGTTGGATGTTTAGCTTTTATTAGAGTAGAAAAAAATGTTAATAATGGAAAGTACCGACGAGTTCATGGGTACTTGGAACACACTGAGGCTTGCCATAGAGCATTGCCAAAGAAAGATACACCGACTTTAAAGGTTAATTGTGATATTAAAGACATGACGGAACTTTTGGTTAGAGCAAATGTATCTATAAAAGATATTATATCTTTAAACCAATATTTTATAAGAAAAAAATTATCAGGAAGAACGACGTTAGATGGTCAATATTTTCTAGTTACAATTTATGACGTTAAGGATGCAAGACGTTGGATTAAAACCCAAAAACAATGGCCCATCAACATGAATCGATCTGTTGATTATAATCTCGAAACCTATTTTGGCGAGGGTGCTCAAGATCCAGATTTATTCCGTTCAGCGATATATTTCGAAAGACGAAAACATCGTCATGATCACGTTTGTTTAGTGCTAGCAACTGAAGAGCAACTTTCTCTAGCATGGCAATATGGCCATGAAAAATGTATTATTTTAGATGATTCTTTCGAAACTGGAAATAAAAAATTATTATTATATGTTATCATGGTTATTGATGAGCAAAACAAAGGTATACCTGTGGGATATCTGCTATTTTCTAAATCAGATAGCCCTCACGCGATGGAAGAGAACAATAATGAAGATATAATTCTTCAAAAACTATTAATTGAATATAATAAACGATTGAATAACAGTAACGGAAACCCTCAAGAGTTTACTCCAAGGGTAATATTAACTAGCCTAATAATATACAATAATTTCATCATGATTAGGCCGCTTGAAGTTGAAACTTTGTTTAACGTTATCCCCCCCTCCATCTCCCGGGTTCCCCCCAAAAATTAAACAAATAGAAATGAAAATTTGAAGCAGTCGGGTTTTTTCGGTTTACGTCGGGATTTCTCGATACACTATGTTTAATTTTTAATTTTCATCCCTCCCCCCCCTCTATAAATACGAAAAAAAATAACGTTAAACGAGGTTTTAATTTCAAGTCGCCTTAGGTTAATCAATCTTAATCAATCAATTATTTCCATTATTTATGTTTATTGTATTGTAGATTGCTATTATTGGAGATTTTAGGGAACGTGTGGTTTCTCAAGTCTGGAACGGGATAGATTTGTTATATTCACCTCATAAAGTGCGGCTATGTTGGGAGACAAAAGCGGATGAACTTTTATTTAAAGGAGGCAGCAAAGCTATTGAATGTCGTCAAGCCCTCAGAGATGAGTTGACAAATTTATTTAATGTGTGAGTAAATTTTATTATTATTTTTTGTCTAGTCTTAATGTCAACTAATTATCGTTATTTATTTTGTAAATATTATCGTTTTCAGATTAGAACGTGCCTCGGAAAGTGAAATACGAGCACAGGTTCAGGAGATGGAACGGCGTGCAACGGTAAAATTAATAAAAACTTGTTATTCTTGACAATAGCATGTAATAAAATTTTTGTGCTCTTTTATTTTAGGAACGTCATGCAGAAGCATTCAATAATAAGATTGATACAACGATCTTATTTTTATATAACGGACAATGCGAGTTTTTAAAATATTTGCAAACAAATTGGATAAATGACATGGAAATGTGGTCATATAGTAACCGATCAAGAGCTGCCAACAAAATAGGTGTTAATGTAAACACATGGTTATCAGAGTATCGAGAAGGATTCCAAATACAGTTTAATTCAAATCGAATGTTAAGGTTTCAGCAAAGAGGTCACCTTTTGCGTTTGGATGTTTTAAGTCTTTTGCTTTTAAAGTTCATCACACCTATTTGTATTATACAACGTCATTTATGGAATTACGTTGAGACATTTTTCAAAAATGAAAAGCCACCAATTGAAGCAGTGCTTCAGGGAGAAGAACTAGAAGAAGGACAATGGAAATGCTTACTTGAGCAGCATATTAATACTATCGCCTTTGAAGAAAATGACCCAAAAACATGGCAAGAAGCTACTAATTTATTAGGGAAGAGCCTCTCAGTCGAGTATAATGGAGAATCTTTATATGCTATTATAAACACTGATAGTTTAAATCCAGAGACTTGTCGTGATAATGATGAAATGAACTCTTATTCAGTTTGCCTTAAACCTGTCTTTAGTTGCCATTGTTTCCATTTTCTAGTTAGAGGAGGGTCCTGTGCTCATATTATGGCAGCAGTCTCCTATGTAAACTGGTTACGCCAACAACCGGAGAATTGTAAGGTTGATATCAACCTACGACATTGGACCATTCCATTCATTAAATTACCATCACGGAAGGAAGCTCTTTTAGCATTGCAACGTCAAGCACAGAAAAAAATGTTTCCAATTCTACCTTCTACTGATATGTATGACAGCGAATCAGAAAATGAATCTGAGGACATTGATTCTATTGAATCTTATACAACACCATACTCTGACTTTAATAATTGGACATCATCAAGGCAAATTCCAGAAAATAATGAATCCATGTCTTCCATTCAAATATGGAATACTACGTTATCTTCTGTTACAAATAAGTTGTTGACTAATTTCGATGATCTTTCACCCCTTGGAAATAAACTAAATCAGAATCAAGCAATCATTCCAACAGGTGTAAATGCTAGTTTGAAAACATTAAACTTGGAGGTGGTCGCAAAATTGAAAGCAGTTTTAGAAAGTGAACAGACTAAAGATCTGATCAATACTTTAAAACAGATACGACAAGCCGTCGTGACAGATCCTTCGGGAGGCAGTATGAACGATAATGGGACAACAAATAACAATTCAATGGTATAAAGAATACACAAACATTTTTGAATGAAAGTAATGATTATGTTATGCTGTGATAAATTGTAATAATAGTTAATTAAATAAAGTTTGAGAAAATTTTAACTTTTTATTCTTGATACCGTGCAGAAACGTTAATCGTAATTTTATGGATTACGCTTGCCTCAGATTGCAGCTGACGCACCTCAGATGTTGATTGTTTGACCAGCATTAACTGATCGACAATAATTAGCCTAAATTATACCTTCATCCTCACCCTAACTCTAACGCTAAGTTAGGCCGGTTTTAGTCTGAGGCAAGCGTTAATCTGAGGCACGACATATACAATTGAAATTGTAGTGCTTGAAGTTGACGCCATCCCGAAGTTGCACCTCACTGGAGAAAAAATCTGGAGATGTAGATCATCTTTTTTTATCATAGAGTTGCTCTGATTGGTTAAAATTCAAAATCCGCATTTCGCACAATTTTGAGCAACATCCTAATCACATTGAGGATTAGCCCTGAAATTAGATAGGTGTAACTTCCGGTGCCTATAGTTGCAAATTTTAGGCACGACATGTATATATAATTTACATTTTCTATTATTTTAACGGCTACTTTTGTCGTGCGATTCTAGTTATAACGGTAATTAAAAATCTTTTCGATCTAGTATTTGTATCATTCGACTAGATAATGTGAAATTTGTTGACTGCTAAATGTGTCTTGATGTTTAGTTTTAACAATAAATTCATGATTACTCAATCATATAACCCATGTAGCGCGTTTAACACAAACCGAAGCACAAAATTTATAAGCGATGCCGACAATACTCGATAAAATATAAACTATCCACGTGTAAGGTTAATACTGTTTATATTTTGGAATCTCAGACTAAGGGTGTTCTCAAGCATCTCAATCAATCAATTAAATAATGATCATGACGACGCTCAAGTATCTCAGTCAATGACGATCTTTATATAATTAAATGCTTAAGCATACTCTTTCTGTTTTTCATGATCTACGTTATGCCACCTAAAACACTTTAAAAAAAAATTTCTACTCAACTAACTGCCGAAACTTTAACTTCGGCTGCGTCGGTTTCTCCTTTAATGATTTTATCGATGTAAATCTTTTGTTGCAACAGCAACAGAATCTATTTATGGAATCATTAGCGAAAGATGCATTTTGCGAATATTAATATTTAAATTTTATTGAACGAAAAATGAATAGCAGTATTCATTATGGTTTGATTAAAGGTTAAAAGGTGGGTTGTATTTATTACTTTCAGAACAAGGTATCAATTATTTGTTTTAAAAGCTTTGAGAATTAAAAATAAGGTGATTATTTTTTCATATCGGCTAGAAATGTGTTGAAATTCATTTTTATTATGTTTGATATGACAAGTAATGTTTGAGCGACCTTTATCAATGGTAAATTTTTGAAGAAAAAAGATGGTTTGTATCTCGCTGATTTGCTTATCGAAATGGTAATTCGTTTGCAGACTTGGTTAAATTTATTCAATTTTCGACTAATTAAAATTTTGCCTCCGATCCACACCCTAAATTAACGTTAACGTAAGTTGAATTATTACTGTACCCGTATACTGGGTATACTCGTATACCGGACTACCTAGGTACACATGTACGTACATACATTGATCAAAGTGTATACGGAACCACTAATCGTGCAATTGTCAATCATAAAATTGTCAATTGCGAATGTACAATTGTCAATTGCGTATATACAATTGTTGATTGCGTATATACAATTGTCAATTGCATATACATTATTGTACTTTGCAAAAAGATGTGGCCTCTGCGGATCACAATGCAGCGTAAGAATCGAAGATTCTATAGATTTTAAGAATTTTATCGATTTCAAAGGAATATAAATGTAACCGCTCGAAAATATAAAGTAATAGATAATCTAAAGTCGCAGATGTCAGTTCAAATCATATACTAAACACGTACGTACTGTACGTACCTGGGCAATCCAGTATACGAGTATACACAGTATACAGGTATACGCGAAACTTTTTTTTTTATCTCTGATTTCATTTCGAAAACAGTAATAAAATTTTGTATTGGATCATAAACTAATTGTAAATTCACCAAAATATTGAAACCCTCACAGTTGAACTCATAATTTCACTAAGTGTTAGAATTGCTAACCATCCCATTTACTGTTGACATTATGGATGTTCTATAGAATAGATGGGCAAACTCCACAAACTCCGCAACTCCGCTATTAAACAATTAATGATTACTAATCATTAGTGAAGCTTATTTGATATATTGCCCACCTATTCTATAGAATATCCGAAATATTACAGACTTATCCACTGTTAAATTATGAATTCACTCATTATTGAAATCACGAACCCAACCACTATTGAATTGTAAATTTACTTGCAAACCACCCATTGTTAAAATCACGAGCCCATTCACTGTTAAATTCATGATCACCATTGTTAAAATAACTTATCCACCACCACTGTCGAAATCATGTACCATATTTACACGAAATAACACACATGGGCATTATTTTGAAAATCACATTTCCTTAAAATAGCATAGTTGGTTTCAAAATAACGCCCATGTGTGTCCCGAAATAATGCACACCCCATATACTAATGTTAATAAATCACCTTGATATTTACCATCATTGATTGGGGTGTATCCTGTACCTCGAAATAACGCCCATGCGCGTACTCGAAATAACGCGCATCACCTCGAAATAACGCGCAGATGTGCGTAAATACGGTACCACCCTTTTTTAAATTATGAACTCGCCCACTATTGAAATCACAAACTTACCCACTACTGAATAATGAACCCACCTACTATTGTAATCACAAACCTACTTAATGCTAAAACCACGAATCCGTACATTGTTGAAATCACCCCACCGCTGAAGTCATAACCTACCCATTACTAAAATCGTACCAACTTCGTTGAAGTCACGAACCCATTCACCATTGAAATCACTAATTCGTTCAACGCTAAAATTATAAATTCACACTATTGAGATTACTCATAAACCTTTCCACTGTTAAAACTATTATTTAGTTATTAGCCCCATTGTCGTATTTACTACTAAATCATGAATTAACTATTGAAATCATAAACACATGCGCAGTTGAAATTATGAGCAACGCACTAGTGAAATTACAAACCACCCATTGTTAAAATTCCGTAAATTCTCGAAATAGCAGGCATGGGAGTTATTTCGAATTTCGGCCCGAATTAACCTTAGTTCTGGTCTAACGCCCATGTCGATATTGCTGAAATCGCTGACTACTCGATGCTAAAATCGCGGACTCACACAATGTTGAAATCACCAACTCATTACTGTTAAATTATAAGTCCATCCATTGTTGAAATCACAACCCCACCCACTGTTAAAATCACTAATTCATATATGAACTACCTACTGCCGAAATATTCAGCCCAACTACTGCTAAAATTACAAACCTGCTCGCTATTGAAGTTAGCATCAGGAAATTTTGAGATCCGATCATAATCTATTAAACTCAGATGATTTTAATCGATTATTATCACCACCACCGTCGACTAGATGTGATTGAGATTTTTATTGATTATAATCGATATAATTAAAAAAAATATCGATAATAATCGATTTATTTTAATTTCTTTCAATCGATTTTTATTTAGGTTGATTATATTCGATTATTATTATCAACACCAGCGATAATAATCGCTTGAAATTATCGATTATAATTGATTAGCTACTTGTAACCGATTATAATTGGGTTTCAAAATTGCTTGGTGATACTAAAACCGTGAGCTTACCTGCTGTGAAATAACGAACTATCCACTAAAGTATTACTCTTGAAATTATCAACGATTAAAATCACTAACCTGAAATCATGGATCTACTTAATTGAAAATCATAAGCCCACCACTGTTGAATTCATCAGGAAATTTTAAAATTAGATTATTGTCGATTAAATCTAAGGATTTTATTGCGGTTTACAAAAATTATGTGACAAGTAATCACTAATTTCCGATTACTGATTTCCGATTTCTTCAACATTTTTTTTGATTTTTAGACTTGTAATGCGCAACACCTATTTTTACAAAATGATGTGCAATTTTTATTTCTATAAAAAATAATAAAATTTTTACAAAATGTCTAGTTTGTGATTACGTTAATGATCTTCAAATTTCACATAATTTGGCAAACCGCGGAATTGTCTCAAAAATTGTTTACAAAACAATTAAATTTTTATTATTAAAGCTATTTTTAGTAGAAAGTGATTTGTTTCACTTAATTCATGCTCTTAGAAGATATATCAATAACTATTTTCGAACTGGTACAAAATTTGAATCGATAATCTAAACCATTTTCTTCGTTATAAATATAATTGACATGAATACAAGAATGATTAACTATATAATATGATTAATAATCAGTAGCTTAAGATTTTTTGTAATCTTTATAACAATGATAATAATTGCTTGAGTAATAAACGGTAATTTCGATTTATTACCATATTTTTAAAACTTACCGTTTTATTTTTTTATACTTTTACTTAAATGATCTCAAATATTTAATAGATTTATTAAATTACATCAATTGTAAATAATTGACAACCAATTTTACTAAAAAATAAATCTATATTAACAAAAAAAAAAATTCAAAAAGTACTAATTTATTTGATGAATATTAAAATTTTAGACTTGAAATTTTCAAAAAATATATATATAGTTTTTATATAAAATAAGTTCAATTTAAATTCGTTGTTTCTCTAGGAATTCATCGATCTTGATTGGTCCTGCGTATTACTTGCATATTTTGTAATTGTATAATATTCGTATAAAAAAAATAATAATAAATTGCATTATAATTGAAAACCAAACAAGGACATTCACAGTAACTGTGGCTATGAAGAACTTCCGGTTGCTTGATTTTATGCATTTGTTCACTACCCACAACAATTAATACCGATATTTCTGTTTATCTGACCCTTTTAAGGAGTAATTACCAGAAGTAATTGTCTTAATTAG